TTGGCCTATCGTACCAGCTCCAGGTGATAGATGATGATGATGATGATGATGATGATGAGTGTGGAGCAGTAGTTGGAATGAAAATTGGCAGGGGAAACCGAAGTACTCGGAGAAAGCATGACCTAGTGCCACTTTGTGCACCACAGTTCCTACATGACCTGACCTGGGATCGACCTTGACCGCTACTGTATGAAGCCGCCTGAGCCATGGCACGGCCAGATCATGTAGTTAGTGAGGCCGTTGTGAAGTTCGTAATGAATTATGAATCGCTTCGGAATAGGGAAATGGCGGTCACGTTAACTCGTAAGATTACTATTTTAATATTTGTTGGAGTTCCTTCTCTTTCCCCGCTGAAGTAAGTCTGCACACCTACTGGTAGTGGGCAGATGGGATCCTGGAAAGCTAGAAGACTTCAAATAAATGTGAAATTGTCGGTAAGGAGACTTTCTTTCCACTTTACCGAGACATTAACTATACTTTCAAATTTTGTTTATGTTATTGTTGATAGTGGTACTCCTTCACAGTAGAATACTAATGTTATTCAAAGTAGTGTACGGGGTCTGTGAAAGCTGTTACATTTCCTATTCGGTACAGGAAATGTACAGGGTGCACCAGGTCATTGTAGTGATCTCTGTTACAGAAACTACCAGCAGATCCTGTCAGGTGTGCAGAGTAGTCGACTCAAGGAATGTAATTTTTAATACTGAAGATTTTTGGTTCCAAAGATTATTTTCGGTTTAACTGTTAATATCGGTCTAAAATACACCAAACTGTCTCTAATTTTACGTAATATTTTGTGTAGGTATGCAAGTTGTGTCTCTCTCTAAGGGAAGAACTAGAGCAGAGTGCTTAGGACAATATTTGCACCAAACACATGTGGCAATAGTTGAAGAAAAATACGTAATAAGGAGCTTCATAATTTGCGCTGTTCACTCAGTGCACATGTAGTACGAAAGGGAAGGCGACAAATATGCCTACAAACAATAATTTAGTATGAAGACAGAAGGGAAAAGACAACTTCAGATACATAAGTTTAGATGGGAATATATTATTAACATGCATCTTACGAAACAGGACGTAAGGATGTGAGCTACTTTAGTCTGGCCAAGGATAAGAAACCTTTGGCGGGCCCTAGCGAACACGGTATATTGAACCTGAGGATTCTATAAAAAGCAGAGAAAATTTCATCAGCAGCTGGGCGACTGTTGGTGTCTCAGGAAGGACTCTGCTGCGTGAATTTATTTAATTATTTCGTTCCTGGTACCGTTCCACGCAATTCGGAACACAGGGCAAGCTATTCTTTCTATTTCCTTTTCCTTTTAGCTAACTCATTCTACTGAAACGTTTCCATTGGTCAAAATATTTGGCGTCCTTTGAAGAAATCTGTAGGCCTATTCGTTTGTAATGTAACCGTGTAGGCCTACTAACATCTAACGACAATTTTAGTAGTTGTAAAAGAATATAAACTTAATAAGTAAGAATAAGAGCTCGGAAGGTCAAAGTTCCTAATTAAAGAGGAAGGAGTTGCGTGCATGTAGAATGGGTGTCTTGTGCTGCAGGTTGTGACCATCAACGGGGCTCGCATCTCACGAGATAAGCACGACGTCCCTATTCCTCAGGGCATTGCCCATGCTGTGGACAGGGTCATGTTCCCACTTCCTGTCGGCAACATCATACAGACCCTCCGGTCAGACAGAGAGCGTCGGTTCACCAAGTTCCTGAGAGCGATCCAGGTGTCAGGGCTCACGGATAACTTCACAGGTAACCGGTCTCATGCCTTCAGGTTCTGATATTTAATTCGTGTAGTATGGTGCATGGTAAGGCCGCGCCATAGCTCAAGCTGTTAGTCGCTGGCTTCCCACCGCGGCGGCCCGGGTTCGATCCCCGGTCTGGTCAAGTGGGATTTGTGGTGGACAAAGTGGCGTTGGGGCAGGTTTTCTCCGAGTACTTCGGTTTGCCCTGCCAATCTCCATTCCACCAATTACTCCACAATCACCCTCACCTATCATCTAGGGCTAGTACAATAGGTGTTGGTTGAGGCACTATGCTACGGAAGGTCGCGGGTTCAAGTCCCGATGAGGTCATTGGATTTTTTCAATTGACCTAAACCTTCCGGCCACACTATGGCCCTGGGGTCGACTCAGCCTCTAACAGAAATGAGTACCAGGAAACTTCCTTGGGGGTAAAGGGAGGTCGGGGCGTAAGGCTGACATCCTCACCGCTACTGGGGTCGACTCAGCCTAGAGAAAATGTGGGAACCTCGACGTCTCACAACCCTATGGGTCTCCACGGCTTGTGTCAGGAATAGCTTTAATTGTACCTTTTTACAAGAACTCAACGATTTCTTGTGATTAAAATCCAACCACTATTCTAAACCCTTTTTAGACTGTAGGTTTTCAATGTAGTAAAAATTTATATTGTTATCTTCTAGGATATAACGCCGTGTAGCCTGGTGGTGGCTACTAATGACTCAGAAGATTCTGATGCCTCCAGTTCTTCCGAAATTTGGTACTTATATAACACTGAATGATGACACAGCCAAGAAGACCGTATTCCAGAAACTTCTTATTGCCTTTCTTTGGGAATTATCTGGAAATGCTTGACCTGCCGCAACATTGCCGGCCCAGTAAGGAGTTTATCTGTTGCAGGGAACAAGGTGTACACAGTGTTCGCTCCGACGGACCGAGCCTTCTCTGTGGTGGACACCGAGGATCTGAACAAGCTGCTGACAGACGGGGACATGTCTCGAGCACTTGTCCTGAGGCACGCAATTCCAGGGACTCTGTACAGCTCCGGCATGAGGTTCTACCAGCTACGCGACTCCCTGGAGAAGGGATCCAGCATTGCGCTTCACAAATCCAACGGTAAGACAAACTGAGGCCGGTCACGGTAGCCGAGCGGTCTAAGGCGTGCACTGTCTTCGCTCGCTCGGAAGCCGGGATCGTGGGTTCGAATAGTACTCAGGGCATGGATGTTTAGGTTGTGTGTGCGCGTTTTTCTGTGTTTGTGTACAGGTAGAGGCCTTGCGACGAGCTGATCACCCGCCCAAGGAGTCCTACCGAATGTGTAAGGTCTAGAAAAACCGAAGTGAACGGAGAAGTTCATGGAGGTAGGCCTAGGCCCACTGGGGCTGTAGTGCCAAGGGGGAAATAAAGACAAACTCATTCACAGATCGAGTAGGAATCACTTGGCATCGTGCCGCAGAGGAACGAATATTTTGCTCCTGGTATCAGGCCACGAAGAGGTAAAGGAGGCATGGAAGTAGTGCCTGATGCATTTTAGATCTCTACACTGAATGGATGTGGGTGGTTAGCTACATGTTCCATATCAAACACCTTTGAATAAAATCAGGGCGAACTCATGGACCTGCCTAAATATGATATAAACAACTCTATGTGGCAAAGCCCTTGTTCAGAAACTAATAGTCCCTTATCTAATCAAGAAAATCCCTGCCGCTTATGGAACCCGAAAGCTGGTTATAAGAGATGCCACTAGTTTGCGTGTTGTGCCAGAAGTTACATTTTTAAGATCTAAATATTATACAGGGTTATCCATAAGTCCGTGAAACATTTTGAAAATTTATGATAAATTAACTACGTAAGGGATTCCAAATTTTGTTACACTGAAATAGAGATAAACTCACCAAGTTTCTTTTTTACATAGTTCACAGATGCTCAATGTCTCCACCATTGCTGATACGGCAGACATCTATGCGATAATCCATTTCGTCCCACACCCCTGTCAGCATATCACGGTTGACCAGAGCCCCAGCAGCGGTGATACGGTTGCGAAGACCCCTGAGATTAGCAGGCAATGGCGGCTTTGAAAAAAACTTGGGGAGATTCATTCTCTATCGGCGTAAGAATTGCCATGATCAGATTCATAGTTCATTTGTTGTGAATTTTTAAAATGTTTCACGGACTTATGAATATCCCTGTATTATTCTCCCTCTTCGGGGGTTCTAACTCAAAAATTTTTATTAATCTTTTTCTCTTCTATAAATGTACGTGCTACAAGTCCCACACATCTTATCCTTCTCAATGTCTTCATCCTAACAATGTTTGGTGAAGAATATAAATTTTGTAGCTCCTCATTATGCCTTTTTTCCACCCTCCTGTTGCTTCGTCCCTTTTAGGTCTAAATATTCCCCTCAGCGCTCCGTTCTCAAATATTATGCCGTCATATTCTTTTCTTAATATCAGAGATCGATATAATTCCGTGAACAATTCAACTATTTCTATCACTGCCATCTTCAGGTGTCTCAGCTGTGCCAGAACTGTACCACTGTATAGAATGCCCACTTATTCACATCACATGTAACTGTGATATTTCATGATTTAAAATACTAGATGTGATGTGATTAAGTAGCCGAGCGGTCTAAGGCATGAACTGTCCTCGTTCTCAAAGGGGTTCGAATTCCCTTCAAGGCATGAATGTTTGGTGTGCGTATACGTTTATTCTGTGTTTAGGTAGCAGCCTTGCGACGGACTAATCACTCGTCCAAGGAGTCCTACCGACTGTGAAAAATGATTGCGGAACTGAATAAGAGGCCTGGGCCCTGAATGCGCTGGAGAGCCACTGAAAAAAAAATGTGAATAATTGGATATTCTATACATCACAAACATCTCATGTAACTGTGATGTTTCACTGTTTAAAATACTAGATGTGATGTGAATAAGTGAAGATTCTATACAGTGGAACAGTTTTGGCATAGCTTAGACACCTGATGATGGCAGTTTGCGGCCGAAACATGTTGTGAAAGAAAGAGTAATAGTAACATTTGCATTGTTGACGGAATTATATTGTGTATGAAAGAGATATTCATGCAACAGGATGCTTAAATACAACAGGGATACACCGAGTTTCACGCCCATACAAAACGACACAGATTAAAAGCCCCGGCATTTAAAAATAATTTAAGTATCATTTTATTCATTCATTCATCAATGGCCCTACAGCCCTTTGTTGGACCCTGGCCTCTTCTTCAGTTTCGTAATTTTTTTTACATTGACGGTAGGGCTCCTTGGACGGGGCATCAGCCCGTTTCAAGGCCGCTACCTGCACACAGAACAACACAAACAGAAAATAAACACACACACAGTCATCCATGCCTTGAGTGGGATTCGAAACCACGATCCCAGCATTCGAGCGAGCAAAGACAGTTCATGCCTTAGATCGCGCGGCTACAGTGATCGGCTAATTAAAAGTACCATACTTATATTAAATTAAGCCGGTCACGGTAGCCGAGCTGTCTAAGGCATATATTGTGGTTTCGAATCCCACTTAAGGCATGGATGTTTGGTGTGCGTATGCGTTTATTCTGTGTTTGTGTTGTCCTGTATTCAGTTAGAGGCCTTGCGACCAGCTGATCACCCGTCTAAGGAGTCTTACCGTCTGTAAAAGTGATCATGAAACAGAAATCAGCCTTATCTCCACAGATGGAACGAGAGGAAAAAGATTAAATTAAGGTCATTGGAGGGGCGCATGAAATTAAAGGCAACCCGCAACTATTTTATAATTAACTTTTATATAATCGTCATAAAGTCCATTGCCATCCCCAGAATCTGACGTGTAACAAGACGAGCATAGAAACATTCAGGCAGGCGTGACAGTTTGAGTATCACATGTTTGACTGTAACCAGATCACTTAATGCTCTTCCAGTAGAAGAAATATCACTCTTACAGAGGCTGAAGGCGAAATGATTAGATTGCAAGCAGCTGCTGGTTTTGTAGACTCGTTTGCTAAGAAAGAAGAGAGGTTTGGGAAGAACGGATTGAAAAGCTTGCTTTCTACTTGGGCGGAAGGGAGCGGAAAGGTTGACTGGTGACAAATGTGTTTTCTTTCTTCCCTTCCCATTGATATTAATGACAGACTGATGATGTATTACAAGTGGACTGCTACTTCACTCAAGACGTGCTTCGTTGCTGGCATATATTCCGGCAGTATAGTCAGGGAGCTTTTTCAGCGCTGTTGGTTGATGAACCGATCACAGTGGCCGCGCGATCTAAGGCATGAACTGCCTTCGCTCGCTCGACCGCCGGGATCGTGGGTTCGAATCCTGCTTAAGGCATGGATGTCTGTGTTCGTTTATTTTGTGTTTGTGTTGCTCTGTGTGTAGGTAGAGGACTTGCGACGGGCCGATCTCCCGTCCAAGGAGTCATACCGACTCTGTATATAGGATCAAGGAACTGAAAAAGCGGCCAAGGCCCAAAGAAGGGCTGTAGAGCCATAATAATAATAATAATTCAATTCGTGTTTATTTACGCGCAAACATAACAGCACAGAGGACAATTACAAAGTTAGCACGAACACATAGTAATAAAGAAATATAATTAAAGAACAAAATACAAAATAAGAAAGTATATATCAGGGCAATAAATTAATAATAAATAAATAAAAATTAAAGTTAGCATTGACAGGCAAGGAAAACGAAATAAGTAAATTTCCCGTGGTTATGCCATTATGTGGCGAGAGAGAACACCAGAAACACGGACCTGAGATTTCCGGTTCAGTGGGTAACTATGAAACCAGTTTACATAGCCACAGAAAGCCCAAAAGCAGCAAGCTTAAAGAAGAAGGAGGAGAAGAAGAAGAAGAAGAAGAAGAAGAAGAAGAAGAAGAAGATGTGCGTAAGGTCGAAAGCATTGCTGAGATCGAAATAAATGGCATCAGCTTGTCTCTGAGAGCCGACTAAAGGGGAAATAAAATCAACGTACGAGTAAGTTACCAAATTGGTGCTCGTGGATTTAGTTTTCGAGAAGCCGTCCTGATAAGGATTAATTATAGATTTTAGATAATTGGAAACATAGTCATGAACAATAAAATCAAATATTTTGGAAGCATTACTCAGAAAGGATATAGGCCTATAATTGCTAATAGAGGTAATTTTGCCTTTTTTGAGAACAGGAATAGCTGCTGTTTCCTTCCATAGGATGGGAAAATACTGCTCAGATAAGCTTAGATTAAATATATGTTTAAGAATAGGTACAAAAATATCAGTACAACCCTCATTAATGAATCCAGGGATGTCGTCGACTCCAACAGATTTAAATGATCTCAGGCGCTTAATGGCAAACGAACTATACCAACCGAGCGACCGCCGCTTGTCGGCGAAGTTAGTGCCAACTTTAGCAGATAGAGGGTGTCGCGTGGTCAGCGCAACGAATCCCCAACGCCGTTAATTTCGGTTTTCTAGACCGGAGCTGCTATTTCCTTGTAATACCTCCTCAATTACATCACGAGGCTGAGTGGACCCCGTTCCAGACCCACTGTTTCTCAGAAAATCTGGTATGCCGGGAATCGAACCCTGACTACGCCAGGTCTTCTTGAGGCTGTCCCCGGCTGTATTGTGTTATAATAGTCATTGCACATTCATCTATATATTTCCACTTCCGTTACAGTAATAAAACTCAATCTTGTTACAAAGCCACTAATTAACATACTCATGGAAGTACTCATGGGGCTGAGCTCTTCTTGAGGAGCCGCCAATTCTGCAGCTACTCAAGAATTTCCCAGCATTTTATGGAACCCGAAGGTTCATTATCGCGTTCACAAGAGCCCTCCACTGGTCCCTATCCTAATCCAGATAATCAAATCCATACCATCTCATCCTATCTCTCTAAGATCCATTTTAATATCGTCCACCCACCTACGCCTTGGTCTTCCCAGTGGTCTCTTTCCTTCTGGCTTTCCCACCAATATCCTATACGCATTCCTCTTATCCCCCATTCGTGCTACAACTACTATATGTTCACTTATAAGGACTTTCAATTGGTATCTAAGATTATTATTACTCGTATTATGACTCTACAGCCCTTTGTTGGTCCTTGCCCGCCTTTCCAGTTTCTCGATCCTGTATACAGT